AGGATGTCCCCACGTCGCTCGTGCGGGCTAAGCCCAGTCGGGCCCCGTGGGAAAAAGCCCAGCCACCAGGCGCTCGCATTCGAGCCCCAACCTCGGGCCTGGCTCCAGGGTGGGGCCCCAGTTGCACCATACCGGGCGACGTCACGGTCCTTGATGTTAATTTTTTTATAAGGGGTTTTTGAACCGCTCTTAGTCTGACCCGTCACCTAGGACTTGTTTGCCTTGGGAGACCCTACCAGGGACATATAGCCCCCAACAACATAGCTCCTAGGATCACTCGGGTACTCAAACCCCTCCACCACAATAAGGTGGCGGTTCAAAGACAGCCTCACTGCTCTAGGTGTATTGTCACCACTATAGCTGCTGAACATTTCTCTTCATAGAGACCAATGTACATTTTCAGCAATTTTAAGAAAGGTTCAAACTAAATAGAATCTTTTGAAAAGGATGAATGAAATTTAAAAGTTTAATCGACAGTAGATCAACCTCATCATCTGTGAGCCTTGGGCGTCCATGACCCTGTTGTTGGTTCACTGTCTGTCCTTCCATAGACATTGTTGGTAGGTACTAACCACCATAGACCAGGAACACACAACCAGACCTGCAGTGTGGGAGAGGCTCTGACCCAGTTGTCAGCCATCACAGTTTGACCCTTGTCACAGTCACTCAGATCTTTATTTCCTGCTTCCAACACATCAACTTTGAGGACTGAATGTTCACTTGCTGCCTAATATACCCCACAAATTGGCACAAGTGCCACTGTAACAAGATAATCAGTGTTATTCCCTTCAGCTGTTAGTGGACATAATGTTACAGCTGATCAGTGATATTAATGTGAAAGAATGCAAAACCAGAACAGCTGCTAGCCTGCCGCTGTCAGTGGGTCTACACAGGAGGCTTTTCAGTTATCCATCGCATGCACATGTGGAAAGGAAATGCTTCTAGTTTAATTATTACAGCTGTCTATACAGGCTGTAACCCAGACACCTTAGAGTCTGTTTTATTTCAGTGAACAGTGACTGTGCGTTGGCTCTGAGGTCTCGTTCTCTTACTACACCTGTTGTGTAGAGACTGACGGAGGACTGAAGCCGCTGCTGCTTTGCTAAGATACCAACATTGTGTAATTCTCACTGAACACACTTCCCCCTGCACACACACGTGCCTAGCTCTGTAGCTCTCTACCTGCGGCAGTGTAAAGTAATCATTTGGTAATTAAGCAGAGCGTTGCTTTGTGGCCCATGTGTACTACAAATAAAGATTTGTCTGTAACATTAACTCAGGACAGATGGAGAAAAATATGCTACAACTGTACACTGGAGATCCTTGACCTCATCTCAGTTTAATTCACGTTTCTTGGTTTCCCTCCCACCTCTCTGTCCTTCTCTCTCTCATCTCCAATTAAACCCAACCCTTTCCTCCCTCCCTCCATCTTATCCTGCATCCTGCTCCTCCTCTGTGACTTATTTCCTCCTCCTTCCTTCCCTCTGGCCTCTTGATGTCTTCTTCTCAACCCTCATTCCTCCTGTCTCCTCCTATCTCATCCTATTTCCCTCCACCATTCCTTTCGACCTGCTTACCTACTTCTTTTTTCCCCTTAAACCTCCCTCCTTTCCTCCCATCCTCAGCCATTTCTCCTGCCTGTCCTCAAAGTACATGCTGTCAGGGGTGCCGGCAGTGATGAGCACCCTGCTGGCCAACATCAATGCCTTCTACGCCCACCCTACCGCCTCCACCAATGTCTCCGCTCCGGCCAGATTTGCAGCCTCCAACTTCGGGGTAAGTGACCACCAGGCCCAATAAAATAAATACAGGAATACATTAATCTTTTCAGTATAATTCAGTTAGTCAGACCGTTTGGCAGCATGTTTGTAAAGTGTCACTGTAAGAATGAGATTCATTGCAGACTGAGTGGACAACAGCTGATTTAATAATCACAGAGCTAAAACCCACAGTTTTATAAAAGTAGTTAGCCTTAACAACACCAGATTTGTATATCTCATTGATAATGCAACCCAGTCTCACAGCAAAATGTGTATTAGCCACATTGGTCTGCAAAACAAGAGATACTAGTCTTACAATGACACCTCCAAAATTCTGACTTTGTGATGTCTTTCTGGCAGCAAAAACAAAAGAAAACGCTAAGTTTAGGTACAGAAACTACATGGCTAAGTAAAGCCCCAAATAATCACTTTTATTGGCCCAGTGTGTTACACACACAAGGAGTTTGCGTCGAGTACAGAACCGATCCCAGCTCCCTTGCATGGCACCGCTCTGGCTGTCAGGAGCAACTTGGGGTTCAGTGTCTTGCTCAAGGATGGAACGAGAATCGAACCACTGACCTTGCCGTTAAGTGATGACTGCTCTACCTCCTGAGACACAGTTGCCCCGTATTCGTCCGTTCTGTGCTACTGTACAAAACATGGCGGCCTCCATGATAGGGGACCTGCACCTATGTACATATGAAAGGCTCAGTCTAAGCTAAGGAAAACACAACATTTCTTAGTTTCTGGTGATTGCACATTAATTAAAATATAATTGTGCATACTGTAGCCCGTTGCTGCTAATAAATCCTTCTAGATCTTACACAGTGCACCCTTAACTGTCGCGGCCTAGGTCGTCTGTACTACCTGAACCTTTATACTCTAAACGACGTGTTTCACATAAAGATTCATGAGAATGACCTGGACAGAGCTAGTGGGTGTTCCTTTACGCTGACTATATTCGTCCTCATTAAAAGATGATGCCTTTCACCATGGGACCTTTGGAACAGCTCTGAACTTTGTAGTGGCCTAAATTCAGCATCTGGGCCCCTCATGGGTCATATATGTAGGAACAGTGACGGCTAGAGGCCGAGTTTAATGACTCCTTGGATCTTGGTTGCACTGACATACGAGCAACTGCAGGCAGCATGTTCTCGTGTTAATAGGTCAGGGGATGCAGACACACTTCCTCTCACCATGGGCCGGAACAGCGTGGGTTTATGTCTGGACTGTCAGCTCGGTAATAAGCTGCTGGATGGGTCGATAAGTTTTCTTGTCTCATTACATTTCACTGAATTGAGTCATTTTCAGTGTGGGTATCTGGGTAACTGAAAAAAACACTGTTCATTAAGCCGTTCTCTTCTCCTGAGTGATGTTAGAGAACATCAGGAACGACACTTAGATAACTTTTTAGTAATTAATGCATGAATCTGCATAATTTAAAGTATGAATTAACTCGTGAAATATCAGTCTCTCTAGTCTACAGAACCCACACCCCTAAATAATTAGCCGACTATTAGGCAAAGTGTTGACATACAAACTGAGGACCCTTTGCTAACTATATCTTAATATGAACTATAGTAGTGCATCTGAATCTTTGTCTGATCATCCCTAATTGGTGCCAGAGCCACAACAATGCACTGTTGTGAACATGCTGTACATGCATCCTTCAAACCATTAGGTTCACTATTTTTGTTTTTTTAGCATCAACCTATGTTTCTCTGCTGTAATCAGTGTGTATTTATTTTGCTCAGTGGGGGAGATAATGTTTAATGCCGTAAACTCTATGATTATAATTGTTTTTCTGTTATTTATTTATAATTTTCCTCAAACCATGGTTTCCAAGACAAACGTTGTGCTGAAATGAAGGTTGTTTTGTTGGTAAAGGTATTTTGTAACAGTTTCAAGTGTTTTTTCTTCATCGATTTCTTAGTTTTGTTTTCAGACAGAGCAACACAGGCAGCAGGGAGGTGTTTTACAATCTGTTAAACTCAGTGTCTCTTTTCATTTGCTGCTGCTTTTTGACTGTGTCCCTCTCCTGTCTCCGGTGCTGCAGAGCAACCTCAGAAACATGCATGTTATTTCCTTCCTTCTCTGTTTCTGGCCCACTATTGTATTTTGTTTAAACTTTGAGCCAAGCCAATTTCGGTGCACCTGTTGCCACAGCAATAAGGTGATTTCCTCTTTTGTTAAGCTTGACTTCAGCTTTAGTCCCTCTTGTCTTCTGGCTCTGTCTCCTCACCCTCTCTCCTCTGATCTGCCTCGTATCTGTCTGTAAAACATGTCATCATATCAGTTTGTTCTTCCTCTCTTCTGCTCTCCATAACCTTCTCTGAAATCATGACACTGGTGTTGCTGATACAGTGGCATTGCTTTTTATGTTGTACAGTGTGTGTGCCTACAGACCTTGTGTATGCAGGAGTATCAAGACCACAGACATGCCAGAATCTCACACCTCCCCTCTGTTTGTTTGGGGTAAAGCAGTGGAAACAAACATGATTCACTAGATTTTTTTTCCTTGTTTCTACCAGGGAATAGTTACTGAGCATGTACAATGTGCTTCTTTTCTGTAATGCTCCTTGGCTCCTCAGTTGCTGCTGTCATTGTCTAGTTTTACAAGTTACTTAACCTTTTACAATCTAATTTTATCAGAAATATTTGAAACAAGTCTGAGAAGCAGCAAAATCCTTCTTAGAGTTCCTTAAAGGCAGTTCCTGCTCTTTGAAAGTTAATTATCGAAAGTGTACTGCAGCAGAGCAGGTCATGAATTAAATTGATGAAGGTCATTCAGGGCCACGCAGGTGAGTATACATAGTTTTATCCATGATTTTGTGATATAATGCTAAAAGATTAAATTTGCTCTTTTGAAGAGGCACTTTGCTCAGGACTGTATATTTTGCTCTCACTTTAATAAAGGGAGAATGCAGCACTCGGCTGGTACACTTGAATTAATTTCACTTAATGGCTAACTAGCTAGAGTAGGTCAGATGAACAGGCAAAATGTAAAAAATTGTTAAAGGCATACAACATACAATACATGTGAAAAATATAGTTCACAGTAAAACACATTTACTTGGGTTTAAATAGATATCTGCCAGTTTTCACAGCTGTTAAGATTTTAGTGTTATTTGGGGAAAAAATTCTTCTGGAAATCAGTAATTATATAAAATCAGCCCAACTATCTAAAATCCTGTGGTCATTTAGGTTGCAGGACATGTTAAACTGTCCTTCATTTTCCCTTAATTAGTATAAACTGTCCAAGAAATATATAGACACAGTGTTTCCTGTCTTCTTTCCTGTTTCACATGTCACTGTCATCTAAAATTAAATCATCAGAATGGACACTGATGCACATTAAAGGGAAACTTAGATTATTTCAAATTAACCAAATTATTCCAACAGCTTGGCATTTAGCCTGCAGTGTTTCCAGCTTCCTGAGACCAGAGCACATGCTGCTTCCTCCCAAGATAATCTAATGTCATCCGTCTTCAGCTATTTGTTGTGTCTGTTATTAGCTTTTGGTGGTTCTGCACCTGCTCCACAAGGAGAACAGAATCTTTGGTGCTGAAGCCGGCTCCGTCTCATCAGCTGTCAGCACTGTGCAAGGACATTTCTTTCCAAAGCAAGGAGAAACAATGTAATTTGATTAGACTACAAACAATCTACCGTCAGTAATAGTTAAAGGTTTGCATATTGAAAACCCTGAAACATAAACTAAGGTCTGTTGTAGGTTTCAGAGATGAAAACTGAATTACAGCAGCTACGACAGCATCCCACCAACAAAAATGCACCTAACTGCAGAACAAAAATGGTGAAGTTTAGCTCTGAACGATCACCATTTTCCTTGTCTTGTCCTTCAGGCTACTTTCACCTTGTTAGGTGAAACCTTCAGGCTTATTCATTATTCCCAATCAAAACATCAAATTTACCACCCATCGGATGAACTGGAACTCAGTATGTTTCATTATCACGTAAATTGTGTCACAGCAGCCGAGAAAGGAAGTGCATGAACCTCAGGATGAGGAAAGGGAGTAACCTTCCCCAGCATGTGGAGAGCAGGTAACAAGGAGACTGGAGGTAATTACAGTATTACCAGTACTACCAGGACTGTATGTGAAGAGGATGGTGTGTGTGTATGTGTGTGGAGGTAGAGGACAAGAACCGCTTCAGGGAAGGACGATGTGACAGTGTGGTATTTTTTAAAGGTCAAAACTGAGCTGTTATCCTCGACTCAGGCTTCTTAGGTCAGGTGTGTGTGTGTGTGTGTGTGTGTTCTGGGTTTGAAACATCGACACTAAGAGCAGTTTCATGCAGTTTGTCTGGCCCTCACTTCTTCAAAGGGCTGTTTAAAGGTTCAGGTTAAGACTTGGTTTTATAGTTGTGGTCAAGGTTTAAGGGTTAGATTTAAGGATAAGTCTGGCATTATTATATCTTTTTTCTTATTGTCAACACGTCCCATAAAACCTCAATGCTCTCGGCCCTAACTGCCCAGTCTGTGGCTTGCAAGATAAAAGCAAGGATTCACTGATTTGAGCCAATTATTTGGTATCAGGACAGATACTGACCTTAGATATTCGCCTTAATAAGCAGATTGGGTATCTGCTTGGTGATGTGATGTGTGGTAACCTTGACTGATCCACATTAAATAGATCCACTCTCTGTTTCTGCTTTCAGTTACATTTTTCCCCAGAGGGACTGTTGACAGTGCACATCTATAGGATATTACCAGTCTTATCCTTCAAAGTTCAAGCTGAGCTTTGATGTGTAGTTGTGCATGTTAGCAAACAAACTGTCATGACTCACAAAGCTGTGACACACTCTCTGTGTTTCTGTTTTCTCATAAATACTAACTGTTTGAACCGTGGGACACAAACAAAGTTGAAAGACTTTCAGTGTTTGATTAGAATTTGGCAGTGGTGTTACTGGTGTTCAGTGCCAGTTAATGTTGGGCATACTTTAATCCACAGATAAAAACTAAGGGCAGCCCTTTCCAGTTAACCAACAATGCAGAAACTAAATACTATGCAAGCACAACTTGCTACTTTTCTAAGGAACTGAAAGACTGAGGCATTGCATTTGTAAAAAGAACCGTTTTAACTGGGATTAACCAGTGTCTTTACAGTATTTGAATGTGTTTTTGCAATTTTTTCACGAGTATCTATTTAAATATTTTGCCAGTTTTCAGTGAGACTGGGACTCCTGCATCTCTTTCTTCTTCCTCTCATTTTCTTTGTCAAACTAAACTCATTCTACCTCCTCAGTTTGTCAGTCATGTCATGACTCCACTACCCCTCTCTCCCAGTTTCAAGCGGCTTTACTGGCATGATATGCAAATACAATTGTGTTGCCAAAGCATATGGAAGAACATTTTTAAAAATCAGCAATGCGGATACCGCTACTGGCTCGGGTGGTAGACCTGGTTGGCTACTGATCAGACAGTGGTTCGATGCCCAGCTCTTCTTATCCAGGTGTCCCTTTAAGTATAAGGAAGACTGAGCCCAAATTGCTCCCAATAAGCAGATAACATAGAAAACCTTTATTTAGGCAACTTGTTGTGCGCTCTGATAGTCGAAACATCTTTGAATGATTACAGTTATGAAATATACACCAGCCATAAATAGTTTCAAAAATAGTCACAAATATAGTCATATTAAAGATCTATGTGTGTTCATTTTATACATATAGATCTATTTAATACGTAAGGCCGCCGGCCTCGCCTTGCGACAGCATGGATCACGCCGACCTGCCAGTGCTGCAGTGTGTTTGTGTTCCTCTAACAAAAGAAGAAGCTTTTTATCATCAGCAAGGGTCATAAAGTATCAAACTACTTTCACACCCATGCAGCTTTAATGGTTTTTTATTTTGGACATTTGCAGAGGCATTGTGTCACCACTCTGATGTATTTCTCACACAAAACATTTCTTTCTTCCCTGTTGTTCTCCATAGTGTTAAACTACACACAGCGACTGGCAGCGACTGACACTGAGGCGCATTCAAACACACACAGGCAGCAAATTGCTCACATTTATGTCTTCCTCACTGTCTAAACAAGTGCAAGAGTCTTGTCCTTTCTCTCTCCAACAGAGAGATCGTTTTGTGAAGCTTCTGGATCAGCTGCACAACTCGCTGCGTATCGACCTCTCCATGTACAGAGTGAGTCTCTGCTGGCAGCTGCTGTTCTTCTTTCCTTCTCTGATCTCTACTTCCAGTCCATCCCAGTGACAAGTATGTTTGTCCCCATTCATTCAGCAAAAAGGATGTAGTGGGTGCACACCTGAGCACATCAGGGCAGCATCTCTGTCCAATACTGGAAACATTTGGCTTCAAACATATTTTACCAAATACTTTTGTAGGTTGACTTCTTTATTTCCCTCTTTTTAGGTACTCAGGCATTTATTTTTCTACTGTATCGCTTCAGTTTATTCTAGGGTCACACCAGGTTTTTGATAGAGCTTTTGTCAGGATGATTCATGTTTGAGTTTTGCCTTCAGCATCACTGTTTGCTTGTAATCAGTCATAGAGTAAAAATGAAAAGCTGATCAAAGTGGGACCTCGATAGGATGAACGTTAAAAAGAAAACAGGCCTTAAATTAAAAACGTTGCTATCTAAAGATGGTTAACTGACTTGTTAAACAAGTGTGGATGTGTTTGTGTGCAGAACAACTTCCCAGTCAGTAGCAAGGCTCGTCTTCATGACCTCAAGTCCACAGTGGATCTTCTCACCAGCATCACCTTCTTCAGGATGAAGGTAGAAACAAAATATCAGCTCAGTAAATCACCAAATGTTGAAGCCAAACATCAGATACATGTAACACTACCTGACCGATTTCATTACAGAGAATATATATTGTTAAATTCTGGCTTTGTTGAACTATGTGCTGTTAAGTTGAAAACAGAAATTTTGGTTTCAAGATCAAAATCATCTTTATTTCAAGACATTATTCAACACAAAGATGATTGCACTATAAAGTCACATACATTTTCATCGCTCAGCTCTTACTTACAGAATGCCCAAAATTGGCAGTAATTATTGTGGACTTTGGTCTGTGTGAAGACTTTCATAGGGGAAGGAATGCCAAAGCAAATGCACACACAGCTGAGCTGCAGCAGTGCAGGGTTGTAGCCACTGACTGTCAGCTGCTCTCGAGTTCAGGTCTGTTATGGGGAGGTTGATTTCACAGGACAGGAAGAGTCTTGGATCTGTGCATGGGTGTTAATGTTTATACTCATGCATGCATTTGTTTTCTGCACCAGTTTGGAATGAAACAAGAAAAGATTTGAGTCTTAGTTTGGCCTCAACTGGTACAAATGTTTCCATGGATGTACAGTATCCATAAAGACCAAATTACATCTTGTGACTGACTCACATTATTGTATAAAGACCATATAACTTCATTTGTGTGTGTGTTTTTTTTAATGTTTTTATTCACCATGATTCTCTCATGTTAAGCTCATGAATAGTTAGCAGTCACAGTTCCTCGCTTATTGTCTGAGGAGTCTGTATCCTAGATTACTTGACAGTGTTTGTACTTACCTACCATTAGGGCCTCTGCATATCTGTGTGTTTCTGTTCAAGTTGAATCTGACGCGTCTCCCCCATGTGTCTGGTCCTCTACAGGTCTTGGAGCTGCAGAGTCCCCCCAGAGCCGCTAACGTGGTGCGAGACTGCGCCAAGGCCTGTCTGAACTCAACCTACGAGTACATCTTCAACAACTGTCAGGAGCTCTTCAACCACCAGTTCCAGCCTGCAGTCCAACTGGTGAGCTGCTAGGAACCAACATGGTTTGATGTGGGAAAATGCTCCTTCTCAAATATGTGCCTGAAAGAATTACTAGTACTGGATATCTCAGTTCAGAATCCATGCTACACTTACTGTCACAGTTTTATGCTCTAGTCAACTTCAGTCATCAGAAGCAATGTTACACAATGTCCCCGCCACCATTTAGATGTAAAGCTTGAACAATAGGTCTATTTTAGTTTTTAGGACCAAAGCCAATATATTCATAAGGTGTACACTATATAACTACCTAAATAGTACAGTATATAATGTTAGCAAATTCCTAGTTGGAGTATTATGTATCAAGTTTTGTCAATTTTTATATTTCATATTTAATACCACAGTATACTCTCAAGGTACTGCAGTGGTTTTGCTGACAAGGCCCTTATCTGTTTTAGAGTACATAAATCAAACAAACACAGAATCTGTATCTCACTTTCTGCTTCATCTCCTCCAGTTGCTCATGTTACTCTCTGTGCATGCAGCACATAGCCGCATTGCTAATGTTGCTCGATTGCTACTTTTCAGAGACCCAGACATTGTTTTTAATAATGTTGGCAGTACCTCCAGGCAGGCATTTCACCAGAGCTGTCTGTCTTTGTTGCTCTGGATATGAAGGTAAATGGTTATTGTACAGTTTGGGAAATTGAGAAAGAGGGCAGTGACTAGCTGCACCCACAAAGGTCGGCACAACCGGTGGTCAAAGTTTGAACTATGGGCGCAACCCCTGCTGCATACTGCACGGTGCAGACGTCCATGCAGAGTCTGTGCAGCACACCACATACACAACAATGTTGCATTTCTGTGATAATGTGAGTACCGATGATGGTGCCATTTCATACAGACTGCTCCGACCAGCAAGACCCTCATTTTCTGCAATAATGTGACTATGGCTGTAGGCCTAACTGATGCACTAATGAAATTTAACCCACCTGTTTTGTTCATTTCTCAGGAACAGCAGTGATGTTTACCATTACTAACCATTTCAATCACTATTTAGTGCAGTGGTGTTCTGTACCTCTCACAGATTATGGTTCAATGAGGATAATGCACTCGTTTTTCATAAAAAAAATGCATGTTAAAACTTTTTTAATGTACATTGGAAAGACCTACATATAAAAGACATTATTTTTACATGACACTGATTTTTTTTTAATTTTATTTTACATTTTGAAATCTTTTCTTTTTATGAAGTGATGTTGATAAACATGAGACACGTCTTCTGTTCCAGGTCAAATTGACCTGAACAATATCTTTGCAATATAAACATGTGGGGGTAGGTTGCAAATATGTGAAATGAACCATTTTCATTTTATATGTTGATTACACATATTAAGCCAAGCAGAAGAAGTTTCATACCAATAAAATATTTTTAACTAGTGTTTTTAGTTTTTTAACTTTACAGTTTGACCCACAATATAACAGGAGGTTTAAATTGGTTAGGGTTTATTAATCCCTATAGGGAATTTCTTACTGATGGCAGTGCTGTTATTCACTGCCTAGCCACCAGGGGTAACTAGGGGTTCAGTGTCTTTACGAGGACACCTCAGCATGGGAAGATCGGGAATCGAACCACCAACCTTGCGATTGGGAGATGACCGCTCTACCTCTTGAATCTCCGTCAGCTGAAAAATTATCCTCAGATCACTAAATATTTTTAAGCATGCCCAAAAAGATTCATGTCTTAATGTGCCTAAACGTTGGTATAATGGTATAAATAACACTGCATGATAATCAAGAAAACTAATTTTCAGCTTTATGGAGTGTGTAGAACGCTGTCACATAAACATGGAGGGAGGATTTGTCACATCTTTTCACCTCTTGCAGCCCAAGCCAGAAAAGAAGAAGGAAAAAGTGGCAGGAGAGGAGGAAGAGGATGAGGAGGAGGATGAAGAGGAAGAGAAGAAAGAGGAGAGCCAGCTAGAGGAGCAGGGCCCAAGCATCCAGAATCTGGACTTTTGGCCCAAACTCATCACGCTCATTGTTTCAATCATTGAGGAGGACAAGAACTCGTACACACCCGTCATTAACCAGTCAGTGCTCAGCTTTGTGTCATTTATCTTTCATCTCCTGCATTGTCATTCTGTGCCTGAGACAAATTTCTTGTGTGCCTAACATACAGTAGTTGGCCAATGAGAGTGGTTCAATTAAAATTAACTGCTGCTAATTACAGAGCCAAAAGTTTCAGTTAGTTAAAACTGTTGTTTGTCCCCACAAAACGATGTGTGTAATTTGTTTTTGTATGTTTTGTCCTGACACCTGAACTCTGACTTCTTCCTTCTGTTCAGGTTTCCTCAGGAACTGAATGTGGGTAAAGTCAGCGCTGAGGTCATGTGGACGCTGTTCGCCCAGGACATGAAATATGCCCTGGAGGGTAAGACTGTGTGCGTTTGTGTACTCTGTGTGTGTGTGTGTGTGTGTATAGGAGAGAAAGACTCAGGATAGAAGGCCTGAGACAGTATTACAGTGCGTTCTTCCTCTCCACATTTACACCTTCTTCTCTTCATCAGTCGTCTCTCCAGTTTTGGATAAAACTGACCACTATCACTGGAACCAGGGTGAGATAAGACAGCAGACACACACAGTGTAGCTGCGGAGATACAAAGGGACTTCTCCAAAATACTGAATTAAGGGTGTGAATATTTTTGTAAATAAGAGGTTTAATTTCATGATTTTTATAAAATCTAAAAACATGCTTTCACTTTCTCATTATGGATGAGTGAGTAGACTGGTGTGCAAAAATGGCAGTTTTACCCATTTTCTAACACAAAGTGTGCAACAAGTGAAGGGGACTGAATACTTTCTGAAGCTACTGTCTATTTCTCAGAGTGACAAACCATCAACAGATGTAAAATAACTGATGGAGTCACAGCGACTTTACCAATATTTACTGTATTTCCCCTGGAGCCATCCATATTACAAATGTATGCACTTTATATGTTAATATGCTTTTGAGATCTATGTACATGAAGAACAATGTCAAGTTGGTGAGTGATCAACATCAGAAGAACCTGACACTTACACATACATGAGTGTGTTTTATATGAAACCTGCCGACTGGAGCTCCATAATATTCTGGCTCTCGATTGTGTTTCATATCAGACTTGTAAAAAGTGTAGTATCCTGAACAAATGTCAAGCACACTGAGGCATGTGCAACTCAGCCTTCAACCTACAGAATTAGTTTAGATGATTTCCTGTTTGAGTTGTAGTGAAAATGTCAAGTTTGCAGCACACTAACACCCAGAGAGCAGCCGAGTTGCCAAGTCAGCACTCGAGTTCAAATTTCAATGCAACCCCTGACAGGTCCTAGTCTACCTACTGTACATACTGCCCTAGAGTATTCCACTTGTATCCTAACACAAGCCATCTCCCTCACTGTTTGAACAAAATAGTTTCTCTGTTTTCTCTAACTTCTCACTGGTTTGTCTTGTAATTCTGTTGCCATCTCAGCTCCCATCACATTTCACATCTGCAGAGTTGATTTCTATGTTTTGTGTGGGAGAGTGTGTGTGTGTGTGTGTGTGTGTGTGTGTGTGTGTGTGTGTGTGTGTGTGTGTGTGTGATTAGTGATTTCCCAACTATTTTGCACCATGGACCATTTTTACATTGACAATGTGGACAGCACCGCCCCATCCATAGATAAAATTATGACACAAGGTCTAGTCTGTTTGTGCATGTACATGTTTATTTACAGATAATGTAAATTTGGGTTCAGGCATATTTATATTTATTCCACCTTTATAGAAGTGAGATACAGACAAGGAAGTGCACAAGTGGGAACTGAAGCATCTTAGTCCTGCTCAATATCAGAAGCATCTCTGATCAGCTTGATGAAAAATGACCTGCCCAAACCAGTTGTGATCAGTTTCTTATTCTGCAGAATGATTGGGTCGGGATATGTGTGCATAGGTAAAGATACAGTGTGTTGATTAGGATCATACAACTGCTCTTTGAGAATAAATGTAATAGATTAATGAGTACAGACAAGATTTGACCACACTGGGGACAAATCTTCATCAAGAAAATATAAACCTGCACCTGCTGCAACACAACACACCCCATCAGAGAGAAATTTGGTGTATATGTGTTTATTTTATTTTGTATTTATTTCTGTGTTCCTGTGGGGGGTTGTGTGTTGTTTTTTACAGAACATGAGAAACATAAGCTGTGTAAGTCTGCCGACTACATGAACCTGCACTTCAAGGTCAAGTGGCTTTACAACGAGTATGTTAAGGACCTGCCTGCCTTCGCTGACACTGTGCCTGAGTACCCTGCGTAAGACACAAACACTCACACTCTCACTCTCACTCAGTGTCCTCCAGACACTCATCTTGATTTATCATTTCTGCCTTTCTCGTGAGATTTGTAGCGTACAGTTCATCTCCATGTGCACAGAGACACTTATCCACATGCATCCACACTTCAACCAGACATATGGATAACATATTAATTCTAATGATAGTATTGATGCAGTTTATTTATACAGCATCTTGCTAAATGATACTACAAAGTGCTTTAAATGTGTAAAACATTTCTAGACTCTAAAAGTGGTAACAATTAAACAAATCTTTCAATTAAAAGAACAAAAACTGAATTAAAATAAATAATATTAGAACTGAAAAAGGAAAATAATGTTTCTGAGGCTGCAAGTTTTAGAAGTAAACAGCAAGATATTTTCTTTTCACTTCACTGGAGAAACACTAATTGAAATAAAGAGTCAGTCACTTGGTTTGCTCGAGTTCTGTCTATCAACTTTATGGTTCAACAAGGAGAAGACTAACACCAGCGTTTTGTCTACTTACTGTTATTCTTCCAGGTGGTTCCTCCAGTTTGTTCTGGCCTGGCTGGCCGAGAACGAGGAAGTGTCGATGGAGTTCATGCATGGAGCATTGGAGAGAGACAAGAGAGAGGGGGTGAGTCTACAAGACAAAATCAGTGGTCAGAGAAAGTGTTCAGCTCAGCAGGCATCTGTCCTTCATCACTTATGGCTCAGAAACATTGTGCTTATTCATCAGTCATTACTTCCACTACCTTAAAAAGGATAATTTACCAAATCAGTGACACAAAAATCCAGTTGAAAATCAGATTGTGAAAAATATTATTTCCGGCACAGACACAGTTTATGAAGCGTCTCAACAGTGAGATGAGCTGTGCTTTTTCCTCCTACAGCTCTGATTTGAAACCTTTCTCCCACTGTTGTTACTAAGAGCACACAGCTGCCGGTTATCTGCCCAGAAGCTACACAGAGCTGGGAATCACCGAGACAAGCAGTTGTATAAATAATGAAACTTTATTAGGCACTTTGAGTGTCTGATATTATTTCATTTATTAAATCTAGAAAATATTATGAAATAGTGAAAAATGTCATCACAATATTCAGTCCAAGGTGATGTCTTCAAATGTTTTGTCCAAAAAAAAAAAAAAAACTGTCCAGAAACCAAAGATATTCAATTTGCCATGATATCAAACAAAGAACAGAAAAAAGTCTTTTTCAGCCTGAAATACAGTTCAGACTGATTTAATGACTAATAAAGTAGTTAATTTTATTAGAAGGGGGCAAAGCACTATTAGAGAGACCAGGGTCGAGTGGGTTGTTTAGTCCAGTTGATGCTTGGCTTTATTAGTGGGAAGCTGGTGAGGGATCATACAGTCGAGTGTTGAATTAGTCACTCCTGATGGTTCGCCAAGGCAGTTGGATGAAAGTGGGTGAGATATGGGGCAATATCATGAACCTCTGCACGTCACACCTCCAGGGGAAGCCGTGTATGTGTCCTGTTCGAGTGTTATGTCTGCTTAGAACATACTTTTGTTTACCAGTTTTACCAGTGATCTCTCCCCTGGAAAAAAAAATTAAATATTTCACTCTAAAGTTTCAATTTACAGTTTCCTACGCACAGAGAAATGGCCTCACCACAAACCAGAATTTAATTAAGGCAAACATGAATTTTCAGGCTTCTCAGGAAATGAGATGTTTGTGACCTAAGCCATTACGATGAGTGTATTGCTACAAAATCTTGCGTAAATGTAATAAATTCATATTTGTTTCATTTCCTTTTGCAAACACACAGGAGTGGTGACTGAGGTCACAACAAGAAGGAAATCAGAGAGGGGATATGAGAAGTAATGGAAGTTGAGTCACATCCTAAAAGTATGAGGATGCAAATGGAAAAGACTGTTTGAAAAATTGTATCTTTCTGCAAAACTGACGTCTATGACAGAATGAAAGAAAGCTCCAGTCTCGTGACCTTTTGTTTATGGACTCTTGTAATGATGGTTCAATAAATTCTGGTTTTGGCCAGACGGTTCCAGATTAACAGAATGATGAACTAGTGTTGTCTCTCCACCTCCTGCTGGTCCCATAGCTGCACTTTATCTTCTGTGTGTTTCGTTTGTTGTTTCCATGGGTGTTTTCTGAGAGTAGTCTGCAGAAGAGGCTAGTGGTTAGAGCCAGCTCTTTGAATGTTGAATGTATAATTATGATGCACTTCACATGTTTTAATTAGTCATTGGAGAGGTCCTGCTTTCTACTGCACAGTGGGCACACAAGCTGATCTGGTTCTCAGTCAGTCCGTGTGCTTTCAGCAGTGCCTTACTTCACAAATGTCATGACACTTTATTTCTTCACAAAGGTTACAGGAGGGCCTATAGAGATGGTTGTGCTCTCTTCATTCTTTCTCACATGGCTTTGTTTTACATTTTTATGGCAAAGACACACCAAACACCAAAACATGACACAACAACTTACAGTATTATAAGGAAGGATTTTGCTACTTTGGACATTTAGCAGTAGTCATCTGATCTTTAGCCATGACAGTTCAGAGGTAAACTGTAAAAATATGGCATTCATATTACAAAGTAACCAGGAATGTGTGATTGATTTGATTTGATTTGATTTATTCTTTCAAGCATATAAAGACAGTTGATATGTCAACACACATAATTTTACACATATCCAACAAATGCTAATCCAATATCAATTTGCTTATACCTAGTACATGCTTGAATGGAGTAGGAAGAAGTCAGACTTATCCAGTCCTACCCCATGACATCATCTTACCATCATTGGTTTGCAAGCAGTAAATAATTCTCTTCTACA